TCATGATGTGCCCATATATAGTCATGATTTGCCTATATATGGTCATGTAGACTTGCCTCAAGTCCCTTATTTTTATTATTTTTCTCATTCTGGACAGCGCCACAAACGAGAAAGTTAATTTAGAGACAGACGGAATAAGCGACTTGTAAAACACTGAAATCAGGCACCAGGATGCCAAAAGAATGACGTAATCTTATATTCCGTATTTGGATAAATGGGCGGACCGAAATAAACTATTTTAACCAATCAAATGTTAACATTTTTGGAGCCACGAAACTGAGTCACACGCGTCGACTAGTGAGGCATGACTAAATTTAAATAGTCCTCTCCCTAATAAAATATTTAGAATAGACCCTAGTAAGACTAATTTTTGCAATGGACGAAAACAATTAAGCTTAGACTGGATGGCATACCATACAAATACAACAAAACTTTAACTTTCCAGGAGGATGGCTCAGACCTAGTCTGGAGTCAGGAGTAGTAGTAGGCCTAGCCTAGACTAGTAGAGGCTTGGTGTATTTTTAAGTTCTTACTTACAGAGGCCTACCTTTTTAACAATATTCTACCCTAAATGCCTAAATCTGTGTAGCAGCTAGAGGTGAGCAAGGTTCCTAAGTATAGCCTACGGTTATCAGAACTATATACCAACTGTTTTGATTCAAGTATAGGTAGCCAAAGGGAGCTGGTTAACTTGTTCTAGTCGAGACATCCGCATCTTCAATTTTGAAAATTTACCAAGATTGATTAATATGCATGAAGTTAGCCATGTGATTTACAAAATCAGTCATGCATACGATATCCCACATCAAATTTGATGTGGGAAATCGTACGCATGAATCGTTTGCCCAGGCCCTAATTCGAAAAAAAGAAATCGAGTATGGGACGCCAATTAAATTAGGTATGGCGCGCACTAAGTGCAATAAAGAGTAACCTAAAATTAGGGCCTGGAACCCAGGCTAATGGTCATGATGTGCCCATATATAGTCATGATGTGCCTATACAGTATGTATAGACATGATGTGCCCATATATAGTCATGATGTGCCTATATATGGTCATGATGTGATGTCATCATGACAAAATTTTAGGCATGCCACTATTTTTTGTCAAATAGAATTTGATAGTCTGGACATTGTTTAAGAATCATTTTTAATGCAGGGATTTACAAATCTGGACTAAGAGAAGTGGGGAAAGTTAGGAGAAATGGCAAACTACAAGTAGTATCTCCACTCCCCCCCCCCTTCACCCCATTTTAAATTTTATAATTTTTTAACTGTAGAACATACTGTACCATAACTGTTCCCCCTACCTTTGTCTCCCTTTGTCTTTCATGAGTGTAATGTTACTATATAATAATGTTAGATTAATTGACTTTGTGGCTGGTAATTTGATTTTTATTTCAACCAATAATTTTTCTCCTAAATTTCCCACTCGGGGTAGTGATTGGTATTAAATAAAATATGTGATACCCCGGCAAAGGTTATGCCTTCAATTTGAGTTTTACGATATGCAGTTATGAATACTCAACTCAAAGCTATATTTGGTTATAGCATGGTTATAGCTTCATCTTACTGATAAACAGTATTGTTCAACATCATGTACTCAAAAGATTTAAGCATTTTCAATACACGGCTGGCGGAACTTGGGGCCCAGGCCCCCCATTTTTTGGCCGAAAATATATAATGTCTATGCGGATTTTTGATGATCGGAAAAAGTGGGCACCCATTTTGTGCCCCCACTTCGAAAAATGTTCGCCAGGCCGGCAAACAAACAGCAGAATATTCCTAAAAATAAGAACCTTTTGCAGCATATTTTTAATGTGTGTGAATTTTAATTTTTGTTTAGACAATAAAAACATTGTGGATAAACAAAAATTGAAATTTCCAATTAAAACCATTGCAGCTTATTTTTAATATGTTTTAATTTAAATTTTTGTTTACACAATAAAAATATTGTGTATGGAAAAGCATTGAAATTTCCAATTAAAACCCATTGCAGCTTATTTTTAATGTGTTTTAATAAATAACTTTTGTTTACACAATAAAAATAATTGTGCAAACAAAAATTGAAATTTCCAATTTGCAGCTTACTTTGAATGTGTGTGAATTTTAATTTTCGCTAATATTTTAATTTTTCTTTGATGTGAAAGAACCTTTATGAAGTTCTCCCTCCTGTATAGGACAACCAATTAAGGGGTCCCAAGTTGACAGATTTGATTAAATGAGATCTTCACACATTTAGTGTATTTTCATTTTGCTATGCATGATGATACCCATTGGCACTGAATTCTGTGAGACAATTGATAATAAAGTAGCAAAAACATATGAATACCGTACGGTAAATGCTTGAATAAGTGCCGTGGCGCTTGTAACATTTTTTGGAGGCTTTAGTGCGTTACTTATTCAAGAGTAGAGCTTATTCGAGAGCGGCGCTTCAAAAGAATATTTGCATGGCGCTTTCTATGCCCGTTCCCATGTTATCTTACTAAATGTATTTCCGTAGTTCGGTGGGCCTACACTAGGTACTACGTTATTGTAGATACACGTGTATAAAGAAATGCTTGTGTCTTCATTGTGTTATTCAAGAGCGGCACTTAATCGAGAGTGGTGCTTATTCAAGCATTTACGGTAAATACTTATTTGAGAGTGGTGCTTATTCAAGCATTTACGGTATTATGAATTAGCAGGAGGTTGGTTATTTTCTGGGATGTTCTTGCTTTTCAGTTCTGATTTCCAGAACACTTCCATGAGCAACATGTGGGAGACCTTGGACCTCTGTCAATTACAATCTACTGTTAGAAAATTATATTGGTATTTGAAATACCAAAAAAAAAAAAAAAAAAATTCCATAAAAAAAATAATGCGTATTTTCGTTAAAAAAGATAATTTTTCCATTTGAGATTTTTATTGTGTACTTTTTAATAATTATTTTGTAATTATTTGTTAAAGAATTGATTTTAAATAATGAATTTGTTTAAACTGTTTTTAAATATTTTTTAAATACAGTAGATATGAATACAGTATTATTCAGTGGCGGCAGGATATTGAAAATTAGGAATTTTTATTGGCAAAATCAGCCTGTTCTACCTTTTGTGCATCCTGTATTATATAGACTGGGTATTGCGGTGCCTGTGGGCTAACTGCTTTGTGCTCACTGCATTAATACACTAGTTACTGCTGTGTGCTTAGTTGAGAACGTGGTTACCGCATTCACCGAAGCCAGTAGACAATGAACTGTAGACAATGTACACTGCTGTGTGATTGATACTTTGTACCCTATCTCAAACTGTCGCTTTATCTATGATTGTATGGTAGCAACAGTGGCGTGTCTAGGGAATGTGCGAGGGAACAGCCCCCCCCAAAAAAAAATAACCCTTGCGCTCGCCCACTCGCCTCCCCCCTCCCCTCTATCTAATCGAAAAAGTTTGAAGCAAAAAAATCATGCTTAAGTAGTTCAAAATCATTATTTTGGACCTATCACCTCTCACTGAATCCGTGGGGCCCATCAACCCCCTCCCCTCCCTCATTTCAATACTTCTAGATATGCCACTATGTAGCATTCATAATCTTTATTTTAGATATCCCTAAACCAGATTATTCTTGTAGTTAAAAAATAATGCCAACAAATCTGTTTTATTGTTTTGAATATTAAGGCATTTTTCGAGATCGAACTTCTTATAAAACTTTTGTTTCATAGATTCTGAAAAGGCAGTTGAGATTAGGCTAGATTTTTTACCTTGTTTAGCGAACCCGCTACCTGGAAATTTCATATTTGGCCAATTATCGCACCTGCCGCCACAAAAAAAAAGGAGATTTAAAAAAAAAATGAAGTTACACCCACCACTGCTTTGAAATCTCCAAAAATAATATATGTGTATTTCTTCCTAATTATATAAATTTATGGAACTTAACCATCCCATTATGTTTACATTCATCGTTAACAGTTTATTTTTATTTTCTCCTCTATTTTTGCTCAATAAGAAAACAAGCTTTTATTTTTATAATTTTTCCGCCCTCCTCTGACGATCTTTAAAAAAATAAGTTTGCGATGCGAAACAAGGTATAAAAACGTCTCGCCTTATAAAAATTGTTGACAGGAACATTTAATACATTGTAACAAAATTCTCAGGATAGTACAGTAAACTATTGTCTGTTTTACATCTCTCAAAGTGATATATAAGAAATAAACATTTATTCATTGTACAATATACAGTGTGTTGTTATTTGTCAGTTGCTTGTACAACATAGCTTGTTAGTTTATTACTAACCAAACGATGTCTATAATTAGTTTTTTCGACTCCAGAGCATCCGTCAAGGACTTCTTTTTTGACGACAGGCTAAAGGCCCTTGACAGGGGTACACCCAACTCAGCCCTCGTCATGTCAAAATTGAACTTTTCGAACAAAATTTGAACACCTAAAAGGGTTATATATGTCCAGTGCCTCAAAACTTTGGACGCGAAATATCAAGACCTCATAAGCTTATGCTCTGGACCTGCTCCAGTAAATATGGCTTGTTGTCTCGGTAAGTCAATAACTTATGGAACAAAATCAGGAGCCAAGAACAGCGCATCTTCCCCTTACTATTGAGAAAAAAAAATCTTTCAGAAAGAAAAAAAAACTTCTATAACTTTTATAGAATCGAAAAACAAAAATCGATTAAATGAGACTTTAAAATCCCTAAATATTGTCAGAAGTTTTGGGAACTTCGCCCACAAGAAGGGTCGGGCCCTCCTACAGGTTCTGTGCTTCTCCGACTTAGCCCAAACCCGCTTATGGGGCCGGCCACTTATGCTTCGTCAGAGAAATTGCCTCCCCACCCACTGTCGGAGACATCAA